TGGGTGCTGCCTGCCTTCTGCCCACTCATTTGTTCCTTTCTTGAAAAAAACCCAACGCCAAACCAGCAGTGGGTGGGTTGTTGGGCATAAGGACAGGGTGGGTTCCTCATCTTAGTTGCTTAGTTGCTCCATCGCTGTCGTAACTGCCCACTGGCTCCCACTCAGTACTCCAGTGTCTGCCAGTTGGGCTTTTATCAGAACGTCTATGAACAAGTGAACATTCCAAAGAGACGTGGAGGGATGGGTGCTGGAGGAGTTGGGTGTGTTGCTGCTGGGAGATGGCAGGACACTACATCTGTCACCTTGCTTTCAGTCTCTCCCGCCCACTCACACCTGGCCAGGCTGGGGCACCTGAAGACAGAACAGGCCTACCCTCCGTGAGCTGTGAGTCTTGGCCCCAGGTGCTGTTTTAAAATCCTAGGTTGGAGCTTCCCTGGCAGCACAGTGCTTAAGAATCCACCTGCCAATGCAGGGGACACGGGTTCGAGCCCTGGTCCAGGAAGCCCGTGCGCCACAACTACTGAGCCTGAGCTCCAGAGCCCGCGAGCCACAACTCCTGAAGCCCGCGCACCTAGAGCCCGTGCTGTGCAACAAGAGAAGCCACCGCAGTGAGAAGCCCGCGCACTGCAACAAAGAGTAGCCCCCACTCGCCACAACTAGAGAAAGCCCGCACGCGGCAACGAAAACCCAATGCAGCCAAAAATAAATAAATTAAAAGAAAACCAAAGCCATAGGTTGTATTAATTGTTCAGGTATGGTGACAGGAGACGACACATCAGGAGCCCACTGCCACTGAAAACATAGTTTGTTGCTTGCAGTTCCCAAGAGATGGAGGGATGCCATGCCATGCAGGGCCACCTGGGGAGGCACCAGGGACAGTCAGGAGTCAGAGGGAGTGAGGACAAGTGCTTTTACTGGGGGAAGGCATGGGTGAGGCAGGATAAGCAGGCTAAGCAGGTTCAGGATTTTTTGGTTTAGGCTAGTTTGAACGATTTCAGCAGGTTTGGGGGCCCTGGGGGCTGTCCTAGTGGTCTGGCCAGGGGGAGATTAGGGCAGGGGAACAGTGGCCCAGAGTGAAAGAGCCCCTGAAGGAGGTGGTGGGGATGCGGGCTCTAGATTGGCTAGTTGGCAATGAAAGATGTAATCCTTTGCTCTATCAAGGAATTGGCGAGTCCTGGGAGGGGCAGTCCCTCCAGGGTCAGCAAGGGCCCAGATGGCAACGCATCAAAACCTGTGGTTAATACAGGTGCACACAGCGCCAGCATGAAAGGGAAAAGTGCTCCCATGTGGGAGGAGTAACAGATGAAATGCTCGGGGCAGTCTGGGGAGAAGCAGCTGCCTGCTTTGATGGCTTTGGTTTGGTGTTTGAAGGGGTGAGTCCAGAGAGGGGAGGACGTCTCAATGGGAGCAGAGGGCTGAGCCACCAAAAATATGACGTGTGGTAGTTAGGGGTGAGGCTGGCTGCAGGCAGAGAGTCTGCCTGGACAGAGGCCCAGTATGGGAAGGCGTCTGCGGGGCTTAGCAGGAAACAGTTGGGACACTCGAGTAAGGCCAAAGCAGGTCTTGAATGCCAAGCTGAGGCATTTGGATTTTATTCTGTATGAGCTGCCAGGGCTGTTTTGCCCTTAGGAATTTTCCTAATGAATTCATAGACTCATACAGAATGACTCCGCTTGGCTGTGTATCATAATCACAGAACTTAATTAACAAATTAGGATGCTGATGTAAATTTATTCTGGATGAAAAATAGAAATCCACCGTGGCAGGGCTTGAAAATGCAGTGCCTCCCAGGCTTGCAGGTAATGTTGGTGAGTGGAGAGGGCTCTGGGGATCGTGGGGGGGCAGCCATGCCCCCAGTGGAGGGGTTGACGGCCTCAGACCTCCAGGGAATCCCATCAGGGGAATGGGGTCCGGTGTTGCCAGATCCTCTTTGTTTTCAAGAAAGGCTGGAAATGCAGATCCTTGTTATGAAATCACTTGGTCGCTTGGCAATGCATTAGCTAAACCCCGTCCTCCCTATCAGCACAGGGAGAGGCACTGAGAGGCCAGCTGCGTGGACACTTGGTGGCCTCTTTCTGCTCTCCTGTCACCCCAATTGAATTGTGAGACTCAGAGAGGAAATGGGGTGATTTCAAGGTGTTCCTCCATTGGGGAACTGAGGCACGGCAGGTCAGGGGTCAGAACTGGCATCCAAAGACCTTCCGTGAGGTCAGAGTGAGCCACTCTGTGGTGCTTCATTGGTATTTCCTCATTGCCAAAACTCATTAATTCTTTCATTCATTCAGTGAATATTGAGCGCCTGCTGAGTGGCGGCCAAGACCAACACTACACACACAAAATCAGAAAACGTGATGGGATACTGTCTCAAAGTATATTCTCGTTGTAATTATTTTTCAGCAAAACAAAACCTAAAAGGCACTGTGATCAGTCCCTTATTTTGCTGTTGCCATGTGGGTGATGCTTCCTGCAATGATGCTCTGGCACCAAAGGAGGAAATACTGGTGACCAACAGGGTGGGATGAGGGGGTGATGGGAAGGAGGGATGCACGAGGCTCTCCCTGCCCACGCCACCTGGGCTGCTTCCGTCCGTGTCCTGGACTGTGAGCTTCAGGCTATGAGCTCCGTGGCCGGGCCTGAGCCTTCCTGACCTTGGGGGATGCCTGGCACCTCGGGTGATGCTGGCACCGAGCAGGCCTGCAGATGTCCCCCAGGGGAGTGAATCGCATGTGGCGATAGCTGGTTTCGGTGGAGAATAGTTTAGCCACAACGACCATAGGAAAAGTTCCAGTAGAAACACAGCATTTCAAAATGCAAGTTAAGAGAGTGGGCACAAATGGAGTTTGTAGAATGACCCGACATTATGGTGACACCATTATTGGATCTGTGACTGTTTTATTGGTTTCATGATGATCCAGAAAAAGCTGAGAGGTTTTCCTACGGACTGTCAGGCTCCTTTGGCACTGTGCCCTGTTGTGGTTGGGATGGATGGAGGGCATGGGCAAAGCCAGGATGGGGTCATGTTCCTCAGACAACTATCTGTGGGGTGGTTAGATGGCGTCTGGGGAAGCTATGCTCGTAGAAAAGGAGCCCGCGCTCACAGTGTGCCTGTGTGTGCTTGTTGTTAGGACTGTCCTCACTGCCTACCACCCACATGAGGTGGCCAGGTTGTGAATTCTAGATGCCTTGTGAACTAAAAAGATCATGGTACCCTCCTTTTAATTACAAATAGGAAGAACATTAAAGCATGCAATTATGACCCAGAAAGTATGAAACAAAATTTTTAAAAATTTGCTGTTTCCCGTCTCTCGTTGAGTGATTGATGGGTATCCTCGTTTCATTGGCGTCTGAAGCACAGGTTCGCCCTGCCTGTTGGATAACCTAGCACGATGTGCACCTGTGTGCGTACGTCTGCACGTGTGTGCACGTGTGTGTGTGAAATGTTTCAGAAATTGACATTAAGATCGGAGCTGTTCACAGAAGGGAGGCTGCCAAGCCCAGGATTGTAGAGCATCAGCCTGCTTGGGGCAGGGGGGTGACCTAGACAGGCCGGGCTTATGCTTTCTGCAGCCGTGGGATTCTGTAAAGATTAACCCACGGGTGATGCCTGGGGACGATCCCACCCCACTTTACAAGCTGCTCTGAGGAGGACCTCTGTTCACCCCTACACAGCTGCATCAGAGTGAAAGGCAGTGCTGTCCACAGGGCACGGGGTTTAAGGAAGGATGTGGAGAACACCTTTTGTCCGAGGAACTGCAGGGCAGGATTTAGGTGGGCTGAAAATAATGACCCACCTGTGAATCTGACAGAAGCACCGGGGTTGGCGTGGCCTCCTTGTTGAGACTGTCCTTTTGAAATATGTTCTAGGGTATCACTCCTGTCCTATTAATTATGTCAGGAACTTAGTAAAGCTGAATAATTAATGATCGCAGGGCACTAGGAATTATAAAATGCCACGTAAATGTTAAGGAGTAAAAATTACTCTGTGTATTAAATAGATACACTGCTTTAAAAATATTCCATGGTGGGAAGGTTAATTTCCAGAGCAGCTGAAAAGCTTTTTGTTGGGCTATCTTCAGAAACTTTTGCCATCTTAAGTACATTTTAGGAGACTGAGGCATTCTGTATCTGAAGTATTTGAGAGACAAATGGCTGTTTGGGATGATGTTGCCTATTGGATTTTGGTAAAGTTGTGTCTGCTTGGTTCTCTCTAGCCAGAGGCCGTTTGGGCCCAAAGCCAAGGAAGAGGTCAAGATTATTGAGCACCAAACACAGACCCTGCGGCTGATGCCTCACCTGGCCACGGCCTTGGCCCTGACCTTCGCCAACAGGTGAGATGCCTCTGGGGGTTTGCCCTCTTGAGGTGAGTCTGCGGCTCTGGCATTAATAGGAGGCAGAAGAGAGAGGCAGGCAGGGGCTTCACATCTTTTCTTTTGTAAAAAAATTTTTACTTTTAAAAAATTTACTTTTAACTGTGAACACGAAAGAGTCTGTGGTTAAAATCCAGTGCTCAGGTTAAACTTGACATCTGAATCTTGGTAGTCCATATATCCTGATGATGGGGTCCACGAAGAATTTGGGAAGACCCGAACTGACGCTTCTCCAGAGTTTCTAAAAGAAACAGACTCAAACAGTTAAAATTTCTCTACCTCTGAAAACGGTTCTAATTTATACTAATATTTTCAAAAATAGGTCAAGATGTGTACATATGGTGGCGGGCTATTGAATAAAAGCGCAGTAATAATACTGTAAATTCACACAGAACTTCACATTTTACAGCTGGCTCTTCTTATCTTTGTCTCATAAGCCTAGACATTGCCTGGGCAGTTGTGGGTCATTACCACATGGTAAAGATCAGAACTTAGGAGATTTGCCTAAGATCACAGGGTCCAGGAGTGGGTGGACTGGGAATGTAACTCCAGACTTTGGACCCTTATCTGTGTTCTTTCCTCCCTGTGCAGTCCTGCTTCTTGTGGGAACTACGAGAATTAATTTCTGAATAATTTAGAACTGGCGTGTGTGTGAAACTGACCACGCCAATGGGTAAGCTGGTGCCAGGGTTTATGAAAAGAAGGTGATTGGAGAGATTCTGCCTATAGTGTGCTGCTGGCTTATGGGGCTGCTCGGTTGCTTCTGGCCTGGCTGGGAGGAGCTTGGGTGGGCGCCCCTCTACCCTTATGCACTCAACACTGGGATACCGGGGTGTGTGAACAGTGAATCCTGCAGACTGAGCTTCGGTAGCAGCACTAAGATTGAGCCAAGCCACCTGGAAGAAAATGTAAATCACTCACATCTAACATCTTCCTTAAAATATTCTTGAATGTCTTTTGAGGTTGAATTTGCATATTGTAAAATGCACAGATTTGATTGCTCAGTGAGTTTTGACAAGCATATACACTGGTGTGATGAACACTTAAACCGAATATAAAACATTTCCATCACTCCACAAGGTTCCCTCGTGCCCCTCTGCAAGTTGCCCCACTCACCACCACAGCAGGGACAACCACCTTTCTGATTTCTATCCCAATAGCTTTTTCTGCCTGTTCTTGACCTTCATATAAATGGAATCATACAGTATGTCTTTGTGGGTGTGTCCAGCTTATTTCGTTCAGTGGAATGTCTTGATGTTCCTCAATGTTGTTGAGAGTTTAATTTTTATTGCTGAGTAGTAACATTCAATGAATAAACCACATTTTTTTTCATCCATTTCTATCACTGATGAAGATTCAGGTTGTTTCCAGGCTTTTAGCTACTATGAATAAGCCACAGTGAATATTCTAACACAAGTTTTTCATTTTTCTTAGGGTAAATGCTTAGAGAGGACTTGCAGGATGTTGGGTATGTGTATGTCTAACTTCATAAGAAACTACCTGTTTCTCTGAGAGGTAGGACCATTTTATGCTCTCTTGGGCAATATATGGGAGTTCCAATTGCCCTGCATCCTTGCCAGCCATTGTTATGATCAGGTTTTGTCTTGCTTTGTTTTAATTTTAGTTTATTTTGGTCTTTCTAATAGTTGGATTTTATCACCCTAATAACTAATGACGTTGAGTATCTTTCATGTGCTTATTTGCCATCTGTATATTTTCCTCACCCATTTTTTAAAAGTTATTTTTATTTATTTATTTATTGGCTGCGTTGGGTCTTTGTTGCTGTGCGTGGGCTTTCTCTAGTTTCAGCGAGCAGGGGCTACTCTTCGTTGCGGTGCACGGGCTTCTCATTGTGGTGGCTTCTCTTGTTGTGGAGCACAGGCCCTAGGTGCACGGGCTTCAGTATTTGTGGTGTGCAGCCTCAGTAGTTGTGGCTCGCAGGCTCTAGAGCACAGGCTCAGTAGTTGTGGCACACGGGCTCAGTAGTTGTGGCTCACGGGCTCTAGAGCACAGGCTCAGTAGTTGTGGCGCACAGGCTTAGTTGCTGTGCAGCATGTGGGATCTTCCCGGACCAGGGCTCAAACCCGTGTCCCCTGTACTGGCAGGCGGATTCTTAACCACTGCACCACCAGGGAAGTCCCACACCCATTTTTAAATTGGGGTGTTTATTTTCTTATTGTTGAGTGTCAGAGTTCTTTTTGTATTCTGGATAGATTCTTTGGCATCATATATGTGATTTGCAAATATTTTCTCCCAGTCTGTCACTTTGGCTTTTATTCTCTTAAAAGTGTCTTGATCAGAGCAATAGTTTTAAATTTTGATTTGATTTGCTAGCTTTAAATTTTGATTTGCCTTGAAATTGGGTAATGTGAGTTCTTTTTCAGAATTGTTTTGACTCTTCTCATTCCTTTTTGCCTGCACTTATACGTGTTAGAATCATCTTGTAAATATCTATAGGAAAGATGGCTGGCATTTTGCTTGGGATTGTGTTGAACCTATACATCAAATTGGGGAGAACTGACTTCTTAACGTTGAGACTGCCAGTTCCTGAACACCGTGTGTCTTTCCATTTTTAAAGGTCTTCTTAGATTTCTAGCTCCAGTGTTTTGTAATTTTCAGCACACAGATTCTGCACATATTTTGTTGTACTTATACGTAAGCATTTTACTTTTCTTTGGTGAAATTGTTTATTTCTAGTATATGGGAATAGTGTTTACTTTAGTATGTTGATCTCCAATCTTGTTTGTAGATTTTAATACATATAGGATTCTTCAAATTACCTATTTCTTCTTGAATGGATTTTTATTTACTTCATCTAATTTGTCAAACTTCTGGCAATAGTGTTGGTTGTGGTATTCCTTTATCATCCTTTTAACGTCTGTGGAATCAGTAGTGATTTCATCTCTTTCATTTGTGATATTTTGTTTTCTCTCTCCGTCATCAGTTTGTATAGGTTTATCAATTACATTGCTTTTTCAAAAAAACAGATGTGATACAACTGATTTTCTCTACCGTTTTTCTGCTTTTAATGTTCTTGATATCTCCTCCAATGTTTGTTATTTCTTCCCTTCTACTTGCTTTGCTTTAATTTCTTCTCACTCTCTCTCTCTTAAGGTGAGAGGTTAGGTTACTGCTTTGAGACCTTTCTTCTTGCCTAATCATTTAGTACTAAAATTTCCCTCTAAGCATTACTCTAGCTTCATCCCTGTGCTTTCGATACACTGTATTTTCATTCAGTACAAAATAGTTGAGTTTTCCTTGAGACTTCTGCTTTGACTGCTTTGGTTATTTAGAAGTACTGTCACGGTCCAAGAGCATATTATGAAGGATTCCGTTCTTTCAAATTTAAGGCCCAGAACACACACACACACACACACACGCACGCGCGCACACACACACATCTAACACATTCCACGGTGCGAAGAACATATATTCTGTTATAGTTGGGACGATAGTTCTCTAAATGCCAATTAGGTTAAGTTGGTTGGTTGTGCTCTGCAGACTATATACATCCTTTCTGATTTTCTGCCTACTTGTTCCATCAACGGCTGAGAGAAAGGGGTTGGCATTTGCAGCTATAATGATAAATTTATCCATTTCTTCTTTCAGCTTTATTAGTTTTTGTCTCAAGGATTTTGACGTTTTTTAGATGCATATACATGTAAGGATTATTATATTTTCTTGGACAGTGATCCCTTTATCGTTATGTAATTTTTCTCTTAATTCCTGAAAATATTCCTTGTCCTGAAGTCTATTTTGTCATATTAATATAGCTACTCCAGGTTCCTTTTCTTTAGTGTTTTCATGGTACATCTTTTTCATATGTTCATTTTTAACCTGGCTATATTTTTAAAGTGGGTTTCTTTGTAAAACAGAGGATAGTTAGGTCTTGGTTTTTTTATCCAACTTGAAAATCTGTGTTTAGACCAATTGTGTTTAAAGTGATTGTTGATACGTTTGGATTAAAATCCACGTTGATAGCTGATTTTTATTTTTTCCATCTGTTTTTTTGTTTCTTTTCCCTTTTTTTCTGCCTGCTCTTAGATTAAATGAATATTGTTTATTGTTCCATGTTATCTCTTTGATTGACATTATTTATACTGCTTTTGGAAATATTTTCCTTGTTGACCCGGCGTTTACAGTGTACATCTTTACTGAATTAGAGCCTGTGTTGAACTATTATACTGCTTGCCCTGTCGTGTATGGACCTAAAACAGCATATTCCAAATTCCTCCCTTCCATCCCTTTTTCTGCTATTGTTGTCACATAATTTACTTTTAAATATGCTGCAAACACACAATATATTGCTACTGTTTTTCTTTTACATAGTTATATTTTAGAGCAATTAAAAATAAGTAAAATTGAATTTTATTTTACCTTTATTCAATTGCTAACACTGTTAATTTACTTGTATAGATCCAAATTTGTAATTGATACCATATTTGTTCTGCCCGAAGAACTTCTAACATTTCTTGTAGAATAGGTCTGCTAGCAGCGAATTCTCCCGATTGCTTTTTTTTTTTTTTTTTGAGAAAGTCTTTATTTCTCCTTTATTGAAAAAAGACATTACCAATATGTACAGAGTTCTGGGTTGATAGTTTATTTTTCTTTGAGATCTCACGCTATAGGCTTCTTGATTCCTTGATTCTCATGAGAAAACAGCCATCATTTTTCTGGCTGTTTCCCTATATTCCTCATATATCCCCACTTTAACTGCTTTTGAGATTTTCTCTTTTTCTTTGATGTTCAGAGTTTGATTATGTTGGCCTAGGTGTGGTTTTGTGGTTTTGTGTGTCTGTGCTGTTTGGAGTTTGTGGAGCCTCTGGGATCTGTGGGTTGAAGTTTTTCATCAAATTTGGAAATATTTTGGCCATTATTTCTTTAAATATTTTTTCTGCCCCATTCTTTCTTTCCTTCCTATACAGATGTTAACCTGCTTCATACTGTCCTACATGTCATTA